TGCTGGGGGAAATACAGGCACAGCACATAGTTTTATCAGCCACTCCAAGATCTGGAATGCATCCGATGAAGTGAGCTGTAGCTCACAAAAGCTCATGCTCAAATAAATTTGTGAGTCTCTAAGGTGCCACAAGTACTCCTTTTCTTTTTGCGAATACAGACTAACACAGCTGCTACTCTGAAACCTGTCCAAGATCTGGCTAACTTTTACCAGCAGTGAGCTGTGTAGGGCATTGGTTTTAGCTGCTCTTCGGTGACAGGTTTATAGCAGTGTTGCAAATTATTCTGGGTTGACTGGCTAAACCAGACTTTTATTAGACAGAAAGGGGTAAAAAAAAAAAAAAAAAAAAAAAAAAAGTGAGAGGAAGGAGACAAAATAAGGGGGGTAGGAAAAGGACCACATAGGAGTGAGGGAGAAGGGGAGACAGTCTTACATCCCAGATAGTGGCTGAGATTTAGCTGGAGTTGCCATTTAGGTCCTTCCTCTTATGCCTGGTGTGGCCAGGATATTTTTCAGGATCAGGATGTGTTACATTGGATTTCAGGGTCCTAGGAGTTGGCAGCCATGATGGTGAAGCTTGGTCCTCCACCTTGTCTTGTCGAGTTTGCCCAGTGTTTGCATCTGTCCCTACATGTTTTCTCCCCAAGGTTTTTTGTTTGTTTGTGTTTTGGAACCTCAAAAGGGAATGATGGGTGGAATAGCCCATCCCCTCCTTATTTTGTCCACCAATTAAGTCTGACTTCTGATGCACCAGCTGTGGTTCACTGATTTCTGGTCTGCACACTTCTCTTGTTTTACCAGACATGATCTCCATACAGTCCTTGAGTTATATCAGTAGGTCTTTTCATGTAGACTAATTCAGTCTGTCTCCCTTTTTCACCTTTTCCTATCATTTATTGTTCTAGGTAAGGGTGCAAGTTTGTCACAGAAGTCACGGATTCAGTGACTTTTCTTGATTTCTGCAGCGGCTGGTGCGCCTTGCTCAGGGGCAGCTCAGGTAGCCCCTGGGGCAGTCTTGGGCCACCGCAGCAGACTTTGGGAGTGGAATGGGGCAAGGGTATGGGGTGGGGGTGGGGCAGGCTCTGAGCAGTGCTTACCTGCGGGGCTCCCCGGAAGCGGTAACATCCCCATCTCTCAGATCCTAGGCAGAGGCATAGCCAGGCACCTCTGCGCACTGCCTCCACCTGCAGGCACTGCCCCTGCAGCTCCCATTGGCTGTGGTTCCTGGCCAATGGAGCTGCGGAGGCAGCACACAGAGTCCAGGTTTCAACATCTGGAGTGAAATCCTGGCCCATTGAAGTCAATAAGAGTTTTGCTGTTGACTTCAGTGAGGTCAGAATTTCATCCATAGTGTCCCCACCCCATCCCTGCTCTCCCAGAGGAGCTCAATGCCCAGTGTACCCACTGACTTCAACTGGCAGGGATTTTCTTCTCAAAATCAGACTGTAGTTGCTAAAGTTTCTTCCCTAAAATTAGACTACTTTGGAAATGTGGCTCTCTTTTTATATATATCTCAATAAAATGGATACAATAGATAAATTTCATTGGTCTTGGGTATTTGTAAAACACTTCAAGATTTTCAGTATGACAAAAGTACAAAGGTTGGTATAGTAACATAATAATCTTCTGTATCCCGTATTTCAAGTTCTGTCATCCTTGCATATTCTGGCTTCTCCTGCTAGTTAATCTTCAGTAGTGACTCCAGACTGGTGCCTGGATAGAAGCATAAAACTTACGACAGTCTTGTTCCTTTTGCCATGTGTAATGGTCTCTTGCATGCACCAGTCTAGAGGATATCTTGAATTATGTTCTTGCTTATTACTGTGTTACTATTTTATTGCCTTATTTGTACAGTGCCCAAAATGTTAGGTGTTCTGCTGACACAGAATGGGACAGGTTTCTCTCTCAGAAGAGCTTAAAGTTTAAATGGGCTATATACAGACACGGAGAGAAGGATTATGACGAGAGAGCTGGAGGCAGAAGGCATGTGGAAGGAATAAATGGAACTGGTTATTCGGTTGCTTAGTTGTAGAGTAAATGCTTTTTTAATAGCAAATTGGAAGGTCCTGTGTAGGACTGTGAGGAAACAAGTGTTTGATATATCTGTAGGTGGTGAGGGAGGCTTCATGGTGTACAGTAGTGGCTCTCAACATGTTCCATACTGGGACTGTCTATCCAGTTAGCAATACAAGAAGGGCATGGTATTTGTGACAACCACCTCTGCCTCCCTCACAAGTTATCTAAGCTGAGAACCCATGTGTAGAGGGTCCAAGGGAAGGATTTCCTGGTGTATGTGGCAGTATAGGAGTAGAACACATGCTTGTGGAGGTAAGAGATAGGAAATGTTATTGCAGTTATTTTACAAAATGGCTACTGAAGTGTTTGTCACATATCAACATACATAGTTTGTCAGTGTGTGTTGAACTATGAATATTCCTAAAATTTCAGATTGGTATCAGAGTAACTGTAAAAGTTTACAGTTCACTTGGTATTTTGTAAAGGTGATAAGTTCCTTGACAGCTTAAATATATTAAGATTCATTTTAGGGCACGTGATCAGAGAATAATCAGTAGAAATGTATGACATAGCAACTAAACTTCCTTCATTTGATAAAAAGAGTAGCAAACCAGCTAGAAATGCATATGGCATCCTCTCATTTTCCTGTAGAGGGTTTTAGTTGAAGATGTGATGAACTTCAGTTTTGGTTTTTGATTATCTTACAGTATTTGTTCACTAACACGTCAAACTAGTCACAGCACGAGTAGTAAGGACCCTTTTTATATTGTTTCATGTTTGAAACTTATGGCTCAAAATCCACTAAACTAATGTATACAGTTAAACTGAGGCTTCAGTCAAATAGGATTCATTGTGCTATGTATGAAATGTTCAGACATCAGTATTGTACAAAATCATTTCTGTAAGTGTAGGTCTGAGACTTATCTTTTAAGGCATAAAAAACACTTATTTTTTTTTGCAAGATAATAGTTAGATTAAAATTGGGAAAGCCAGCAGATAAATTGTTTAATTGTGAAGAGGTAACTTTTGTTTGCCAGTGGATTTAAAGGGCATCAATTAGTTTTGCAGACAAAACATTATGATCTGCATTTTAAGCCTAAGATGTCAGACTCCTAGCCAGACTTTAGCTAATGGTAACTTTTTTCTATTTATTAAATTAGAAAAGTCTCTCTTCCCTCTTGATATATTGAATCTGCAAATCAGAAGCAACATCTCATCCAACATTACCTTTATCTTGGTGGGGGACTGAGGGAGGCATTTAGGTACACATTTTGTTTAAAAACCTAGAAAAAACATCAGGCTTCTATTCCCCTTATCTCCTCCCACAACCAATTGATAAAAGAAAGGTAGTTCTTTAAAAGCTAAATTAAGGAAGCACTTTGACTTGACGTTATCAATGAAAAGATGATCCCATAATATTCTGTTGTTCCCACCTCCCTCCCATCCTCTGTGTGGATTAAGAATAGAAGTATGGCCATATTGGGTCAGACCAGTGGTCCATTCACCACCCTGGACTTTAAGTGGAATTGGCTGGAATTGGAGTGTCCCGGTAGAGGATCTGCTGAAGGGACATGAACGGAAAGGTGGGGTGGGGCTGAAAAAAGCACTCACGCCCCCCTTCCCTGGTGAATTGTGGGGGTTTTCACTTGCACTGCACATTTTATCCACCAGGTTAGTCCCAGACATCTAATAGTTAAGGTGCGGCCTGATTAAACGCATATCTAATGTCTCGTGTCATTCTTTCGGCATAGCCGGACAGCCAGACCAGTATCCTGTCTTCCAACAGTGGATAATGCCAGGTGCTTCAGACTCCTAGTCAGGTCTTTCCTATCCTGTCACATAAGCTAGAAAGAGCCTGCAGTTTTCCTTGCTGTTTCTTCTTGGCCCTTGGCTCTTGTTTCTCCCTTCCCTGTCACAAGTGAATGGGCACTGAAACTCCAGCCCAAAGACTGGACATATGGTGTCTTGTCCCACAAATGATACCAGTCTAGCGTGCTTTGGGGTGACTGAGATTGCACTTCTAAGAATAGACGATCACCAAATGCCATTGTAATGCTTTTTTACGTATGGGAGTGGAAATCCTGAGGCAAGATCTAAGTCCTATCTGACATTAGTGCCAATATTATTTTATTTGATGTAATGTCGTTTTGAATTTTTATAGCTGTTCAGGTATACTTCTAAATGGGCTATTTTTTGATTCGTACATCTTATGTCTTTCATGAATGATGCATCTGTAATAACTGGTGTATGGTACTTGGGAAAGTTGTCATGGCTTTTCCTGTAAAGCTTGTGATAGACAGCATTGTGCCAATTTTGTGTGAAAATCTCAGCATAGTTTGACAAATTCTTGTGTAGCTTTTTGTTGGCTCTGCAGCCATTCATTGGAAAGAGAAATGCACTCTGTTAAAAGGAAGTCAGTTACACACACTTCCTGAGACAGCGTTTACATATTTCAGCAAAAGGGTATGGCTCTTTTTTCTCCAGAAGTTTTATGTACACTAGAATGTATTATTATTCTATTTCCATAAAATTCTGGAATGAGACAGATTGTGTTGAATCACAGCTGACTGACATCATTTTGACTTTGTGGCTTGAGCTATGAAATATGACACGAAAAGAAAGAAGGTTTGGCCATAAACTTGGAAAAGCCAAGACATTTTGAATTAATGCTGCTTTAAAACCACATCTTGGCCATGTTGTGCTTTGCAATGTAAAACCACTGGGTTTTCTCCCCATGCTAATACCTGTGGCCAAATTTTGTTTAACAATATTACATTTATAAGTAACTTTCACTTCTCACTGTATTGTTCAGTTCTTATTCTGTAATGAGGTTCCCCATAGTTGTGTTAAAATAATGTAGAAATAATTATATAAAAAGGGATACTTCCTAGCTAACAACTTTTATGTAAAGTGTGTACGGATTCGGTACCTTTCCTAGTACTGTGAAGTGTTGTTTATCTGATTATATCTTTTAATTCTTGCAGAAAATGTTCCAGAGGAATTGCGAGAACCATTTTACACAGACCAGTATGACCAGGAACACATTAAACCACCTGTTGTTAACTTACTGCTATCTGCTGAACTCTACTGTCGTGCTGGAAGTCTTATTCTCAAGAGTGACGCTGCAAAACCACTTTTGGGTCATGATGCTGTTATACAGGCCTTGGCACAGAAAGGTCTTTATGTCACTGATCAAGAGAAGTTGGTAACAGAAAGAGATCTGCACAAGAAACCCATTCAGATGGTGAGTGTGGCTTCTGTATTTTTTTCCTTGGTGCTCCTAATAGCAGTATAATTATTTATGTTTGACTTAAGTCTCATCATTACTTTTATCTCAAGAACTATATTCAGTTAACTTGTGGGAGGGTTAAAGGCTCCCCCTTGCCCCCTCCCTTGCCTCTCCCTTTCAAAATGGGGAGTAAGGGAGGATTCCAAAATTTTGAGATCACATCTTTGAAATTCTTTCAGATACCAAAACAAAACACATTTTCCTCCTACAATTCAAGTGTCATTTCATCTGTGTTTCTGTTCTAATAGCACTTTTCTATGTCTGTGCATTCCCTTTCCTCTTCACCAGTTCTCTATACCTCTAAAGAATAGCTCATAACTTATTGACTGTGGAATACTTAATAGTTCTATAAATTTGTAGGTTTTATATAAATTTTAACTTTATTAACATGGTCAGCTGTAACTTTTCACTTTGTAAAAATATATTGAAATACAGCTTGATATAGCTTAAAATGGGAAGTTGACTTTAAAGGCAGAAGGTGAAATCTTTCCTTTATTGAAGTCCATGGCAGTTTTGCCATTGACTTCACTGGGTGAGGATTCCACCCAGAGTGGCTTATTCTCTGAATACTACAAAAAGTTTTTGTCAAGAATAACTTCTGGTCTTGGGCTTTTATCTCTTAGTCATTTCTGAAATAGAGGAAATAAGATGAAAATGTAAATGTTACCATTAGTCTGTCAAATTCCTCTGAGTTGGGTGTACCCTAGACCTTCCTATTACAGGGGTGTTCCAAAAAATACTGCAGTAGAAAGTACAAGCAATACTGGAAGTGCTTCAGCAGCTAGCATAAGGGATTTCTCAGGAACATCTGTGACTGGATGACTCTGGGAAAATATTCCTATAGACTAACTTGTAACATGAAGATGATTTTTTTAGGGATGTTGAGTGACACCTAATCAGGTTTAAGAGCTACAATTTAAATAGTTATCTTTGGAAGGGGAGAAGAAGCTGGTGTGCTTTGTACCTTGTCACAGCTGCCTTTGTAGGTATGTTACTGTGATTTTGTGTATGAAAGGAAATACTGCCTTTTTCCAACTCTTCAACCTCTAGTGTCTTGAAGGGCAAAGTTCAGAGTTTGGATTAAATCCAGTAGGTTCACCCTGATATCAATTTTACTAATCTGCCCTGAACAAGTGGAATTTTCCTCTGTTTTTCTTTAGTGGTTTTTAAAACAGTATTGAGATCCTTTTAAAAAGCAAATTCTCAATGACATAACAGAATGTCATAGTCCAATACAACAATACATAGTATTCCTATCAGTTACTTAATCTGTATAAAACATTCCAGTGAACAAACCAATGGTACAACTGTTAACAGATATTGTCAATATTTAGTTCTGTACCTAATACAAACTACAATACTAATTAAAGCCAGGCTCACCAAAGGCTTTTGGTTCCAACAGTTACTATAGTCTGAAGACAGCCTTTTTTAAAAAATTTGATTTGTGAGAACTGTGTGTGTATATATACACTCACCTGTGGAGAATGGATACATTTAGATAATTATATTAAAACCTTATTCTGTCACTGGATTTGTTTACATATGACTGAGAGAAAGGGGTTGCTGTTGGTTGGTTATGCAACATATTAAAAATACAGTAATGAGAGATGAAGCATGGCTGTCCACTACAAAAGATAATTTAGAAGCAACTCTATTAAAGAAATAATCACAATGTGACTTCAATACATAAAGTTGAGCTGCTGGAGACATTTTGCTTTATTTGTATTCCACTAGTGACCATGCCCCAATCAGTGTGCTAGAAGCTATATAAATGAGTAAACACAGCCCATGCCTTGTAGGATTTGTGGACTCCCTAAATGAAATCCTGGCCCCTGTGAAGTCCATTGCAAAACTCCCCTTAACTTCACTGGGACTAGGATTTTGCCTCCAGCCCATAGATCTAGCGAAGATAATCTACAGGTTGGTTCTGTTTCTCTCCCTCTACTTATAGAGCAGATTTGCTACAAGGAACCTTCTCTTTTGTTTTTCATAATTCCTATTTCTAGATGCATAGTGAAGAAAATGACTTAAGTCATCAGCCCAATAGCTGAACCTACAGCTTCAATTTTTCCTGGATCTCTTTCACTTGGAATCTACTTTCTGAAATCTGCTCAGCACTACATTTGGTAGTTGTTGTGGTCTGAGCAGTTCTGCAGCACTGGTCTGGGAATAGAAATAAATCTACACAATAAATTTGTTAGAAACCCAAGTTGCTAAAAAAAATTTTTATTCTAAAGTGTGAGATTATGAGCAAGCAGTTAACATGACTTAATCTGCATCATGTTTATATTGCCAGGAAATATTTAGGCCTATTACCTATTTTAAAAAATGCACAGAACTAAATTCCTTAAAGCGGCTTCAGGGTTTGTTTTTTTTTAAAAAAAATGGATAACTCCCTTCAACCTTGTAGAGCGCTCTGTTTTGAAGACACCAGTGTTCCACAGGTTGTAGTAAAATAAGGATTTAGCCAGGTTTTTTCCTGAACAAAATGAACATTGAATGCAGTTGATTTGTTTTCTTCACTCCATGTTGACATTGTTGATTTCTCTTAATAAAATAAAAAACAAAGGCTAATCAAAGAACAAGGGGGCATCTCAATGAAATGAAAGGCAACACATTTAAAACTACTTTTTTTAACGCAATGTATACATAGCAAGACATTGCTGAGGCCAAGAGGAGTTTAGGGTGACAGATTGTAGACCTGTATATGGATAATGAGAACATTCAAAATTTCATGACAGAACATACAAGGGATGTAAACCCTCATACCTTAGAGCAGTGATTCTCAACCAGGGCTTTGGGGCCCCCTGGAGGGCTGTGAGCAGGTTTCAGGAGGTCTTCCAAGGAGGGCCAGCATTAGACTTGCTTGGGCCTAGGGCAGAAAGCTGAAGCTCCAACACCTGGGGCTGAAGCTGAAGCCTGACCAACTTAGTTTCCTAGTGCCTCCTGTAGCAGGGGGCCTAGGTAATTTCCCTGCATCCTACCCCGTAATGCCAGCCCTGGCTTTTATATGGAGAAAAACAGTTGGTGAGCCGTGGAGTTTTTATAGCATGGGACGGGGGTGCCTCAGAAAGAAAAAGGTTGAGAACCCCTTCCCTAGAGCATACATGAGCAACTATCTGACTGGGATAAGCAACAAACTTCTCCTTTTGTGCAGTTCACTCATTATGGAGTGTTTTGTCCATTCAGAAAAATCTGGTGCTGGTCACCTTTGGACAGGATACTGGACTAGATGGTCCAGGAGTTCTATATTGAAAGCAACCTAGAGACTTTATTGTAGAAGCCTACTGCCTGCTTTCTCAGTGACCTGGATCACAACAAGCACACAATACCTGTGCTCAAAATTCCGCACTGCTGGGAGGCAGGGACACAGGCTGGGGCTGCTCAGGCCCCATGCCCAGGGCAGGTGGAGGGACCCAAGCTCGCCCATAGCTGCCAGTGTGACGCTCCAGTGGGGAGGGGGCTTGGAGCCACAGCCCAGCCACAGTAAGAGCTGGGCAGGCAGCTGTGGGGAGCTGTGTAGCAGACCCTCCACCTGTCCTGATCAGGGGACCCGAGCAGCCCCCAGCCCATGTCCCTGCCCACTAGGCTTCCCACCCAGGGCAGGTGGAGGGTCTGCACTGTGATTCCTCACAGCTGCATGCCTGGCTCTTACCCAAGTTAGAGCCCTGCACAGATACAAAATTGTTATCTACATCAGCCCTGCTATCCTCAGAAATGGTCCACGGATATAAAACTGCTCCCTGCAGATTTGCAGGGCTCTATGGATTGGGTTTGTCATATTTTGTACTTCTAAAATTACATAAAAGTGTGGCAGATGTATTTGTAAAAATCAGTACATAAATAAAATAGCCATAGATACAGACAAGGTACTTGAAACCTCCTTCTCTCAGAAACCAAAAAGGTAATTTTTATGTTGGCTAGTTTTCTATCTAACGGAGACCTGAAAACAAATAAACTCATCTGTCCTTTTTGCAAACATTGAATTAAAGGAATCATCCTCAATCCTTTAATACTATGGCGGAAAATAGTTCTGACATTCTCTTCCTGCTCAGGGTAACTTCCTCTGAAGTAAGGAGTGAGTTATGTGGTGCAAGACAACAGGCTGTTTTGAACAGTGCACTGATAGTAGCAAGGGAAGATCATGTCATGGAATTCTGGAACTCCCACAAAGTCCAAAGATGGTTATTTCAGACACCTCCAGTATTCTGGACAAAAGGAATGAACACCACCTCCATATAGTAAACGAACTAATAAAGAATGAACCCTGCCATGCAACTGACATGATTCAAGACATTTGTAATGTCCACAGCTTGATAGAGCCTCTGAGAACCACTCTAGTAGCCAAAGATAGCGGTCTTAACAGTCTTGAGGGAGCTTACATAAATATTAGTGTTTAAACTAATTGTCAGTGGCCTTTGTTCATTCTACATGAATGGTGCTTTCTATCCTCTCCCTCCCATTCAATGTAATCTCAGCACCATAAATGTTCAGTTTACAGACATAGTGACTGGAGCCTGGAGGACAGAAAAAAATCTATCTGGTCACCTACCTGGATTCTTCAAATCTTAGGGAAAAAAAATCTTGTCAGTACTTTAAGGTTTTAATGGTTTTGTTTTGAAGTCCCAAATAGGTATAAGGCCTTCATGTTAATGAGAAGCAGGGAAGGGCTTGTGTCTAGGAAATGTATAAAGTGGTAGATGTTCAGCTATGTGTGCTTAGAGCAGTAGATTAATTCAACTGTGGGAGGCTTGAGAGCATGGGAATCTTTTTTCCTTGTTACAACACTCTTTGTGTCACCTCTCACCATAAACTTGGACTTTAATTCAGAACACCTCTCTCTTAACAGTTTTCTGTGATGCAACTCCACCAGGATAGAGGGGCTCTAGTGCAAAAAGTGTTTGAAATAGTCATGTGGTGGTTGCTCTTCTCTGTTTGAGTCAGAAGAGGTTAGA